AATTTACTACATTCTCCTGTTTTACTGTTGATTTCCTCTTTTCCTGATCATTTGGAATAAGGATAAAAAGCAAACATCCATTTAATATCTATTATTTCCTGAATATTATGACATTCAGGAGGGCCGCCCCCTGATGACGTCATAATATGCAAATTAGATGAGTATATTTACACCCCACATAAACTTTCGGTCATGCCCAACATTTTTCTCATTTACATTAGATCTCTATCTTTAAGCCCTTTCAAGCCACAAGCTTTTGAAATCTTGATGTCAAAATCCAGCATTTTTCCAAAAAAAACCTGGCGCCTAAAGGGTTAATATCTTTTATATATCCCTCCATGGCATATTTAAGTCCCACTTGAAGTCCCACAGATGGACCATCTGTGTCCCAAATTTATCAGAAACACCTAGGAAGAAGGTTTTCACTGACAGCTGTCATTGTAAGACAGTGAGCAACTCCGTTTGTTTGTCCGAGTGAGCAACAGTAACTAAGGGGGGCGGGGCTTACCGATAGGTCAATTGGCAGTGAATAGCGATCATCATCAAGCTTTTCAAAAAAGACACAAAAGTATCACAGAATGGTCCAATGCAACATGTGCCAAGTGTTCTGGGTGTATAGGATAGGGTTTGGTGAAAAACAATCAGAAATGTAACATTATTTAATGAACATCCTGACCTTGACTGTTGGTCTCTGTGGACACGGGACATTTAAAAAAAAATCTCTTTTTGTGGTCCGAAAAAAGAAGAACATACGACATTAAAACAACACAAGGGTGAGTAAATGACTTAATTTTAATTTTTTGGGTGAACTATCCCTTAAAGGGATAGCGCAAGGAGTCTCATTATTCATACATAATATGTGTGACTGTAAATAAATCTTTATAAGAGGGCAGTAGAGACCTTCATATGTCTGTACCTTTTTATAGTAAATGCCCTGAAGGTAGCTTTAAAGGTAGATATACAGTACATGTATTTGACTTTTCCAACTTGCTCTCTTCTCTGTTGCTTTGCCATGACAGAAGTTGACCTTAAAGAGAAAATCCCCTTTAGTCCAGGTGACATGTGAAAAAAATATTCACTTTTTCATAAAGCATGAAACTTGGAGCACTTGTATAGTTTGTGGCCCTGAACATTTTCAGAAATGGAACCATCATAAACACCTCGTGGTTGCCATGGCAACCATTTTACTTTCCACCATAACCAGATTATGTATTTTGTGTCATATCTCTTGAACCAAACATGATAACACAGAAATGGTGGTCTACGTCTATGTTTTGATGGTCAATGATTACAATGATACCACATGCAACAACATAGACTGTTCAGGTGAACAGTTAATAGTGAAATCAGCAATGTGATAATGAAATCACAGTATCTGAGTATCACAGTATCACAGCATTTACAATGGTCCATATTATGGCATAAACAAACGTTACTGCGCATGCGCGCTTTTGTGGCCCTAATTTAACTTACGGTAGACTTCCAAATAGAATAAATAAATAAATAAATAAATAAATGTATGGGGGAAACATCCCACAGCACAACAACCTGAGCCCAACTTTGGGCCAGGCCAGATGAAACTGTCTATTTTTTTTTCTTTCTTATTATCTTATTATATCTAATTAACTAATATTTTATCAATAAAACAATAAAAGCTTGTTTTCAAGAGAACAATCATATATTTCAGAGATATATATTTTTTAAAAATCATCTCAGGTAAGTGTGTTTTTCCTTACCTCTCAGGCAGTGTCAGGTAGGTGGTAGTATGTTTTCAATACATTCTTCTTCTCTCTCAACAGCGCCCTAACATCAAACGCAGATGGCAACGCTATCAGGTGAACAGTTAATGGTGAATTAATTGACTTTATGAGAAGGATAATAATGAAATCGCAGTAGATAAAAAAAGATGCAGATTGAATTTTCAAATATATTTAAAATTAAATTACAATCACTCTCTAGGGCCAGAGTTGTATATTATGTTAGTGTGCACAAGGGGGAAGCCAGAATCCATGAATGCTGGTGGGCACATGCAGGTGAACTGCTAATATTTGATGTAACGGGTGGAATAATATTTATGTGTCGGGTGCGGGTGCGGGTGCAGGTGCAGGCCGAATGGTGACAGGTAGCCAATCGCGCTGCCATTATGATTAACAGCTGTAGTGTCAGGTGTTCTGTTAATTACTGCTGGTGTGGGAAGATAATTTCACTAACCAGGAACGTTGAATGAAAATGTTCTGGAAAATGATTTTGTGCCTCTCTGTGATGGTACCACGAGGCGTCGCTTACTTACAGATCTCAGTCTTCTGGAGGGGATGTAGATTTGTAATAGTGAGTGGAAGTAGGAGGGTGCTGAGCCTGTGGCTGTTCTGTACACAAGCATCAATGTCTTGAACTTGATGCAAACCGCAACTGGTAGCCAGTGCAGGGAGATAAAGAGAGGTGTGATGTGGGCCTGTATGGGCTCGGTGAAGTCCAGTCATGCTGCTGCGTTCTGAATCTTTTGTAGAGGTTTGATTGCGCATGATGGAAGTTTAGCCAGAAGAACATTGCAATAGTCCAGCCTAGAAATGACAAGGGCCTGGACAAGAAGTTGTGCAGCATGCTCTGTTTAGAAGGGCCTGATCCTCTTGATGTTGTGCAATGCAATCCTGCATGATCGTGCTGTCTTTACATGTGGTCCTTGAAGGTCATCTGGTCATCAAAGAATATTTTTGGATTAACCTAGCTGGATGATGAAATCATGCTGTACAGTCAGAGTGGCAGGGAAGATGAGAAGCTCAGTCTTTGCCAGGTTGAGCTGCAGGTGATGTTCCTTCATCCATGCCAAGATGTTCTCCAGGCAGCCTGAGATTGATGCAGCTGCTGTTGGATTGTCTAGTTGAAATGAAAGATAGAGCTGCATGTCATCAGCATAGCAATGGTAGGAGAAACCATGTGCTTGTATGTGTCCCAGTGATGTAGTGTATATGGGGAAGAGGAGGGTTTGGATACCTCTCCTCCCCAGGAAACCCTGAAAGACATACCTGTGAGATAAGATTCAAACCAGTGGAGTGCAGATCCTGTGATGGCAGACAGGATAATCTGATGATCTACAGTGTCAAAAGTGGCAAATAGATCCAGTAAAATGAGAACTGATGATTTGGAATCAGCTTTCGATTTCTGCAGGGCTATAGTGACCGACAGTAAAGCAGTCTCAATTGAATGGCCGCTTCTAAAACCTGATTGGTTAATGTTCAGTTGGTTATTCTGTGAAAGAAATAATGTAAATGCGTCTAAGGTGTGAACCAAATAGTCCATTCCATTAGAATAACAAAAGAACAACATTCCTCAGGAACGTCTTGTAGATTGCAGGATCTCCAGCGGGAGGTTCTAACAGTATCTGTTGATTGTAGCCCTTTTGTCTTCAGGTATAAAATTATATCCCACAGACAGAACTTTAGGAGAAGGTAAGATTCTTACAAGGGTTAAGATTGTGTGACGAATGACATGCTAACATTGCTACTGAAGAACTGCTACACCATCTTCAATAAATTCTTCTCCCCACAAAAATTTTCGTCAAGACTACTTAATTTTTTATATTAGAGAAATCTAGTACACTGGCGAGCCAAGGTTAGAAGGGGTAGTATGCACTGACCTGTCTAGACAGATATTATCTTGACAAGAAGTTAAAATGGATTATAGAGTTTCAGTTGATGTATTCACATCCAGAAATGGGTGGGTGAGTGAAGAGAGGATGACACTACAGAGGAAAGATGGAAGGGTGAAAGAGAGCGTAGGTTTTGCCTAAAAGTAACTGGTAGAGGAATCGGTGGCACACAGGTAGTAAGATTAAGAGTAGGTTAAATGTAATGAATAAATGATAAGAGATGTCTAAAGGTTTTCCCAAAATGTTGTCTGTGATACAATTTCGTGTGTGAGTGAGTGGAAGTCTGCAGTGTAAGGCTTCTCCAGATGGATGTTGAAGTCACCAAAGACTACAAGTGGACTGCTGTCCCCAAAGAATGAGGACAGCAGCCCATCCAGCTCCTCTATAAAGATGCCCAATTGACCAGGAAGGCGATAAATAGATCAATGGAAGTTGTTAGAGAGAACAGAAGGGGTTGCTGAGTCTTCTGAACTAATCGAGGTCTCAGTAAAGCCCAAGATACGAAGAGTAGACTGAGAAGCAATGGCCAGAATTAAGTCTGTTTGTTGACAGCTGACTGACAATTCCAGAGACCCACAGAAAAAGAGAGAGGTGCAGTAGAAGAGGTACACATAGAATACAGGTTAGCAAGATTGCATTGCCTTCTGTGTTTGATGATAAAGCGTTGTTGAGAGATAACAAGAATGCATTCAAAACATACTACTGCCTACCTGACTCTGCCTGAGAGGTAAGGAAAAATATACTTACCTGAGATTATTTTTTTATATATATCTCTGAAATAAATTATTGTATTATTGAAAACAGTCTTTTATTGTTTTAGTGAATAAAATAATTGTTAATTATCAAAGGAAGAAAAAAAATAACCATAATATGGACCACTGTAAATGCTGTGATACTCAGATACTGTGATTTCGTTCTCACATTGCTGATTTCACCATTCACATCAAAACATAGGGGTAGACATCACCTTTTCTGTGGTTCAGAAGATATGACACAAAGTACATAATTTGGTTATGGCGGAAAGTAAAATGGTTGCCGTGGCCACCACGAGGTGTTTTTGCGATGGCTCCATTTCTGAAAATGTTTAGGGCCACAAACTATACAAGTGTACCAAGTTTCATGCTTTTATAAAAAAGTGAACATTTCACCTCAAATTTTGCACATATCACCTGGACTAATGGCAATGCTGAGAATTCAAGGTTCTTCAGCTGCTGAATGGAACTGCACATTAAAAAAAATGCATTAATGCAAAAAATCAAGCTTGTGTGGCTAGAAGTGCTTGCATTCATGTACCTGTTCAGTCCTTCTAAGTGTAGCTTTTGTTTCTTAATTGTGATATGGCTGTCTATCTTAGGGATTGTTACTATGATAACTCGACCACATGTCCGCACTGTGCAAGAATGCTGGAACGGCAACATGAGGAGTCTCAGAACCCATAGATGAGCCTGACAGATGGATGCATCACAAATACTGTGAAAGATCTTCAGAGTCAGAACTTGTCTTATATTCAGTTTATTTGTTCTTGATGTTTTAACCATGCTTCTGTCAGCTTCTGGACTGACATTGATGAAGTGTGATCAGCATAGCAGGAAAACCTCACATTTTGAAAACTATATTCCCATAAATATAGAACTGCTGGTTACTGTTACATGTCTAAAGTCTAAAGAGAAATAATCTGTGTCAAACTTTAACAATGGCATGTTCCTCTTAAGAATGTGACTGTGAGATCTATTTGATTTCTTCCTACATGTAATCCTGGGTAGCATGCTTTTTAAGGGACCAGGAAAAAATACTACAAGGCTACACTATGTTCTGCTTTATAGTTATATCCCCGTAATACACTGTGGTTTAATGTAGTAGATAATATGCTGATAATTTATTATATGATAATTAATGTTCTAGAACAAATGCTGTGTAGCTATTTCTGGTTTAAGATGATCTCAGAATGGAGTCTTCTGTAATGCAATTACCTGGTGTAAAATTGTATCCTATTAAATGACAGAATGCTATTTAATTGTCTCTGTAATAACTGTGCAAGACAACATATAAAGTGTTATGAAGTCCAATATCAAGATATCTTCACAAAGCATGAATAAAACAAAAAAATGGAACATGCTCAGCTGTCTTCCAGCCTTGCTTTTAGCATTACTCAAGTAGAGTAAGATGACCACCACATCTTAATTTTTTTCTCTTCACCATAGATGGCATAGATAATGAATGGCTTTGCTTAGTTTTGTGAAACTGAACACACACACATATACAGTCAGGTCCGGAAGTTTTCGGACACTGACTGAGTTTTTGTGCTTTTGCCTTTATACACCATTACAATGGATTTGAAATAAAATAATTAAGATGTGATTGAAGCAGTGGCATTCCATCCATATAAGCTGCAAATGCTCCGCATACCCAGGCCGTCTGAGAGAATGAGTTCACTGACTAATTAATATAAACATGATTATAAGTTGGTCTCTTGTCATTTGAGATGTAACTTAAAGTGTTGGGAATAAGTACGTAAAATTATTTGAAAAACAACGGTAATTTTCTGTAAATCTGTGTCAGTTATGGAAGCTTCCGGGCAAGCAGATTCACAGCAGCTCGGGGGCACTCAAGATGGCGACCGGTGAGGAGGTATGAATGAATGAATTATGCATTTATATAGCGCTTTATTTTGTATTGCTGTACACCCAAAGCACTTACAATCATGTGGGGGGTCTCTCCTCAACCACCACCAGTGTGCAGCATCCACCTGAATGATGCGACGACAGCCACAGTAAAACGGCGCCAGTGCACTCACCACACACCAGCTACAGGTGGAAAGGAGAGAGAGTCATAGAGCCAATTAAGTGGATGGGGATTATTAGGAGGTCATGATTGACAAGGGCCAGTGGCAGTAATTTGGCCAGGACACCGGGGTTACATCCCTATTCTTTACGAGAAGTGCCATGGGATTTTTAATGACCACAGAGAGTCAGGACTCTCTCGGTTTAACAAAAACGAATAAGATGAGGCATGGCTCCACATGCTATATTATATACTGACTAATAAATTACAGAATGTTTAGCAAACAGTGAGGAATCAAATAAATAAAAAACAAAAAAAACCTCCATAGGGTAACGTGAGGTAAACAGCAAAGATAAAAAAGGTTTTTAAAATGAAAACAAAAAGAAAAGTGAAACTAAACTGGCTGTCGGTGATAGGACTTTCATATGTTTTTTTTCCCCAGAAGAATACCAACATGTTCACCTTCTCTGGTTTATGAAGCAATCTTTTATTTTATTTTAATGTGAAAACCAAATCCGCCGCCTTCCATAATTTTCTCAATATTCATCTGCAGAACACAAAATCCAGGGGGCATGGTTGGATCCAGATCCAACTCCTCCCAACTAAACCTGCCTGTCTCCAACCCTTATCCCTAAACCCACCCATCTCCACCCCTAAACCTACCAATCTCCACCCCCTAGATGTGGATCCAACCACACCCCCTGGATCTTGTGTTCTGCAGTGATGACCATCTCCGCACCTTCGCTTGTGCTGACACGGTACGTATAAACCAGGCTCTACACCTGAAGCATTCGCACTGAAAGCGCCTCTCTTCACATGATCAGTGAAATCTGACTCCTGCTACAATGTACCTCGCTGTATGCAGCAGACGCTTTGGAGCAGGGCAGACCATGCACTCGCACAAATGCGACCACATCAAATTTGAACTCGCACATTCTCAAAAAATTTTCGCAATCTATATGCGGATGTCACTCCCGAAACTTTACAGCGTGCAGCTGTCACTGGTCCAACAGTATCATGAAAAACAAAATGTATTCAAATTCTGAATGAATTAGCCAAGAAAGCGCACTCTGCGCTCCCTGTAATAATTATAAAGCTGTCATTAATTTCAGTTTATCGCGATCTAACAAAAATCCGTTATAATCAATGAGGCTCAACCATAGGAGGGGTTTAGAGAGACTGAATCTTAGAACAAATAGTTTGAGAATCGATGGAAAATGAGGTGATATTAAATGCATATTTTGAGAAAACGAAAGGGTTGTTTGACCTTGCATGCATGTAAACCTATTGTAGGAGACTCCCAAACCAATACTAGGAACCTTAGAAATAATTGGGGGCAAAATAGGGGCACTTTAAGATCATAAAAATATCGAAGCTAAAGGTTTTCATAAAGCAGTTATGGTAACCACGTCAGTAGCGTGAGAGGGCGCTAGCCTCTGTATAGAGACGCTAAAAAAGGTAGAAATTAAATTTAGCATTTATATAGCCTACATTAAAAAACAAGCTTTATATCATTTTTACGACTTTTAATGAAATACAAATTTTGAATAATGAAAATTAGTTTGTGTCTGCTTATTCTATTCATCAGTGTTTGAACCATTAAAGAAGAAACCGCATTTTCCGTATTTCATTTCTGGGTTAAAAAAATGAAAAACGAATGGATGCAAAACTACATGGACCAAAATGGTTACATATTTTTGATTACGACCTTAAAACCAATATCTTGTTTTCTCACATCCCCCATAGAGAGAGAGAGTGAGAGAGAGGGCGAAGGGTAGAAATAGAGACAGAGGTGCCAAAGTCAGATTTTCCATCATCTTTTCATCCCATTCCTTCTCAGGAGTTTTAGGTGAGTATAGGACGTCCATGCTATGTATTTCACAGCTCTTTTCTGATTTTACGCAGAAATGCCTGAGATCTATTTATCTAAGCATACCACGGAACACAACCGGATTCCTCCCCGGTCATGTGGGGCGTCAGATGGCAGACCCCACCGGATGCGGGAACGGACCATAAAAACACAAAAATATTCCTCAGGACTTCATTTATGACATTGAACAGAATTGGACAAACATATTTCTTCACCCGGATGGCAAAGGTCACATCTGGATATCATTAACAGGTCACAGGGTCAAACAATGTGTGTGTCGCAATGTGGGTGGGCTACGTGGGGAGGGAGGGGAAAGGTCAAAAGGTTAAAGCCATAAATCAATCTTGACAAGACCCTTGTTATGACCCATAAATCATTCTTGACACATGGTAAATGGTAGTGACTACTCACCGTGTTTCCTGATGATATCTCCCAGGGGTAACATGTAAAGCGTGAAAAGTACGATTTGAAGCATGCTAATGCACTTCCATTAATGCAAACAAAGTTTTCTAGTCTATTCAAAAGAATGTTGTGGTCAATAGTGTCGAACGCAGCCCTAAGATCCAGTAGCACTAATAGAGAGATACAACCACAATCAGATGATAAGAGCAGGTCATTTGTAACTCTAATGAGAG